CGCTCCGGGATCAGGTAGCCAAGCCGGCGGTGGCTCCGCCTGTCGGACCTGGCCCCTGGGAGCCCCGTGTTGAGGACACGAGGGGCCCCGAGCCCGCCTCTGGGGGAAGAGGCAGAGGCAGGGACCAGCCTCTGCTCCAGGGGCTTCGGGGTGGGGACGCAGGAGGGGACCAGGCTGTGCCCCGCGAGCTCCCAAGGGGAGGGGCGGCGGGGGCGGCACCCAGAGCTGAGGAGCCGGGCGCTGGGGCGCGGAGCCAGGCTGTGGAGAGAGGTCTCTGGTGTCCAGTTTGGGGGCGTCAGGGCTCCCAGAGCAGGGGCAGGGTGGGAGCCAAGTGTGAGGCTGCCCGACAGGGGCCCTCTCTGGGTGGGAGGCCGTGGAGCTGCAGCCTCCGTCCCTGGCTCTTGGACCCACGGCCTTTGGGTGCAGACCAGACTGAGACGAGGGGCCTCGCTGGGGGCAGGACCTTGGGCCCGCTGCGTTCAGGCGCAGTGAGGATGAGGGCGATGGGCTCGGCGCCCGGCCCCATCCATGGGTGTCCAGGGACAGCCCCCCACCCGGCTCCTCACCCAGACCCCCCATGAGACCTGAGGCTGGCGGGCCATGGGGGCGACGACGAGCAGCTGGTGCAGGAGGCCCACGTCTGCCGGTGACAAGGCGGCAAGCCCTGCCTGGAGGCCTGGGGCCTGGAGAGAGTCGGGCAGCAGGGGAGATTCTGGCCGGACACTCCAGGAGTCCACTTGGGGCACAGCTTCCTTTGATCCTCCGGGGACGGCCACTTTCCAGACCAGGCCCCTGAGGCACCCGGGGGTGAACTGCTTGTCCCTGGGCCCGACGCTCCCTCCCGCCATCAGAGGCCAATGGACAACTGCCCTGGCACAGGGGCAACTCCATGGACAGAACGCATCTTGAGTGTCCACAAATGGTTGATAGTTAAAAGCTGTGGCCGGGATGTTCTAAGTGGCAGTGTGTGTGTCTGCCGTGTTCACGGATTCCTCTGGCAAATATTTGAGCGTCCCCTCCTGCTATTGTGGAAAGCAGGGCAGCACCTTGCCACATCACGTGGGGCGGGCACGCCCTCACCCGAGTCCGTAGTCAGACAGGGAGGGCTGTGGTCAGTCTTATCAGGAAAATAAATCTGGGAAGGGTGGGTGGGGAGTGCAGGAGGGAGGGGCCAGCTGAGGCCCAATCAGAGAATGGAGGAATGTGGCCAGGGAGGAGGACACTGGACATTCCAGGCAGACTTCTGGCTCCACCCTGAGATCACGATTCCAGGGCCTGGGGCCAGGCGCAGGCATCAGTAGGAGGAGTAGCAGCAGGGAGCCTGGTCCAGGTGGTCCAGGGACCACTGGGCACCTTCGCAGAGGCCTGGGGTGCAGGGGAGGCCCGGTCCAGGGAGATGGTGAGAACGCCAGGCCCAGCCGGGCGTGGCGGCTCACGCCTGCCATCCCAGCACTCTGGGAGTTGGAGGCAAGAGGATTGCCTGAGCCCAGGGGTTCCAGACCAGCCCGCTCAACTTGGCGAGACCTCGTCTGCAATAAAATTTTAAAAATCAGCCAAACCTGGTGACATGCACCTGTAGTTCCAGCGACTGGGAAGGCTGAGGCAGAAGGATGGCCTGAGCCCAGCAGGTTGAGGCTGCGGTGGCCGCGAGCGTGGCCCTGCAATTCAGCCTGGACGACAGAGTGAGGCTCCAACTCTAAAAAAAAGAATACCAGGCCCAGAACCCCGTTTGGAGATGGGGGCGGTATGATTGAGATGAGTCCCAGGCGTCTGCATTGGGGGACCCAGAGGGACCCCAGCATCAGCCCAACACTTGCTGTCTTCATCAGCTGGGCCAGGTGCTTCACCTGGAAGGTCAGACCCCGCGCTGGTAGCCCTGCCTCCTTCATACCTGTTCACTTCTGGGTGCTGTGACCTCGGCCTGGCCGACCCCAGGTGTCCCTGGGCACAGTGACCCAGCCGGGAGGCAAACTCAAACCCTCTCTTGCAGGTGCCGCCCAGGGCCACATGCCACCTCCTTGCCCGGATGTTTGACCCACAGCAGGAGAAGGCAGCCGCCTGCAGGTGAAGGGGCTCCGTCAGCATGGGGGTGAGGGAGGGGACATGCCTGGAACCTCTTCCTGGGCCCCAGACTCCAGGACCAGCTGAGAAGGAACCACAGTCCAGGGATTCAGGGAGCCTAGCAGCAGCACTTGCTGCTGGCCTCACACCCCCAGGCTCATGGCCCTCAAGGGGCGCCAGCCTCCTCTCGTGGACCGTGAATGAGGGGCAGAAACACAGGGAGGCAGTCCCGGAGGCAGTCCCACCTGGCAGAGGGCTTTGAGCCGAGGCTGGGAGGGCAGCATGAGGCCTTTCAGGCCAAGTCTAAGCAGATGAGGCCAGGCCAGTGGCCTTCTCTGGGCTCAGGGTGGGAGCTGGAGCTGGGCGTGCAGTGTATGCCAAGGGTGTCGCCGGGGCCTCTGCTGGGCTGCAGCTCAGAGGAGCAAACTTAGGGCTTTGCCCTCTGCCTCTCCCGGCAGCTTCAATGTGAATGGATCCAGCCTGGGACCGATCCCACAGGCCTCGGCCGAGCACGGCCAGCATCCGGGTACGGGAGCTGAGCTGGCAGGGCCTGCACAATCCCTGCCCTCAGAGCAAGAGCCTGGGCAGCCACGGGGATGGCGGAGAGTGGCCGGTCCTGGAGTACCTGTCCCCTGCCAGACTGGTAAGCCCGTGTGCCTGGGCTGCGGCCACAGGGCCTTCGTGGGGTGACATCCTGGGGCCTCCTTCTGCCTGCCCTCTGCCCGGCTGGTGACCGCCCCGAGCCCAGCCCCTGCAGCTGGGTCTCCTCTGCCCGCTCTGCCCCCGAGGCCCCTGCCAGCCCCAAGGCACCGGCAACCCCAGGGGCTCG